GGCTGCTGCATCTTCAGATCTGTCCCCGGTGTTGGTGGTGACGTGTCGTATATCAGCTGTTGTTACTTTCTGTAGGCGTGGTCAGCCTGATGGACCTGCAGGTCACTCAGACTGATCACGCCTCCCGTCGCCCGGTGTCTCTGGAGGAGGACGTTTGAACTTGTTGTTTTGAACACCAAAAGGAATGTGAAAAGGAAACATCAGGGAGACTCACCAGAACACAAAAAGATAAAGTAGAACAGGAAAACCTAAAATCCACCATATCACAGCACTGTAAAAGGAACTCGGGACGGGGCTCGGGTCATTGGATCAGAAAACAACAAGTTCAAACGCTGGATCAAGGAGGACATTGAAATCAGGAAACGAGGCACGGACAGCGTTAACCGTGATGACGGAGCCTTCCTCCTTTCACACACCTGAGACGTCCTCCTCCAGAGACACCGGGCGACGGGAGGCGTGGTCAGTCTGAGTGACCTGCAGGTCCATCAGGCTGACCACGCCTACAGGAAGTAACAACAGCTGATATACAACACGTCACCACCAACACCGGGGACAGATCTGAAGATGCAACAGCAGAACCATGTCAGCAAGGTAAATACACTTTACTGTATTGTCTTTAAAAAGAACCCAAGAAGTTAGAACATTGTGAGTTGTAGACAGACTAATGATATAGGGTTACTCGAACACGAGTAAATGAAACAAATCTGTTTTGAGGAGGGAACAGCATTATAACGTGACTTAAAGGTTGTATGGAGGATTTTTTTTTTGTTTAAAATTGTCAATAAAATTTCAAAATAGTATTAAAAAAATACAGCAGCCTTGAAATTATTAAGGGGGGAGTGGGAGTGTGCCTATATTTCCTCAGCCCTTTGTTCCCTCATTTTTAAGTTTTTTTTTTTCTTCTTTTCAAAATTAGGGTTTATGCTTCCACATTTACTTTATCATCAATTTGCATCAGATTTTATCCCCATTTCTCCCAATTTGGTCATCTGTTACACCAAATCTATTCTCCAGCAGCAGCTGACGCGATGCAGAGGTCATAATGGAAAGAATCCTAGATTGAAATGACTTTGAATCATCCCTTTAAATGTGGTGGATATGCCAATGGATAACAAAGCTACCTCTTTATCTATTGGCTGTTGGGTTGTCAGTCAAACTCCCTACGATTCTAAAGTAACTGACTCGCCTCTCACACATTTCACATACACAAGGCGCCGTTTATTCAACCAACGCAGAGGTTCTTAGCGGCTTTTTTCAACTGTCGCTTCCTCGCAGTTTGCACAAAGTTTGTTGCGATGGTGACAAGAATCCACGACCAGTTCTCCGCAAAAGAAAGTCTGTATGAAATTGCTGAAAGAAGAAGAGAAGTGGAAAAGGAGCGAATCCAAACTAAGGTGATTCTTGGAGATTCCTTCCAGTGATGGCGCGACTCAAGAAGACGAAGGGTTTAAGGACTGACGCACTGGTCGATAAATCACTTCTGGTAACTTCAACAGCAATTCATTCACTCGCAGCGGCTGTAAACAAGCGTGATTTCAGAGTAAGGATGAGGCAGGAAGAGGGGTTTCTACTTAGGGAGCTGTGGAGGAGGGGCGTGATGAAAAAGGTCAAACAGTCGCTGTATTTCTCTTTCCTTGGAAAATCCTCTGTACAACCTTTAAATCTCACAAGAGTCAGTTTGTGTAATACAGGACCTTTAAATGACTTTTTTTTGACAGTTGTTTGGATTTATTTAAAGATACTCGGTGTAACTTGTCTGGTAAGGGTCCTCCACCTGCGAAGACGAGCAGATGGAGACACAGTTTTTTCTTTTCTTTTCTTTTACACCTGATTTATAACATACAGTGGAAAATTCCTTCTCACAAATAATTACCAACTGAATCCTGTTAATTCCTGGGTTGACTTGATTATAGAAGAAAAAAATACCCCCAAAAAAAACTAATTCAGATCTACTCATATCAAGTTAGTAAATTTGAACTGATGGCAGATATTTTTTTGCATTGTAGCTAAAGAAAGGATGAAAAAAATCCTTTAGTAACTCACACAAGTCAAACAAAAGTACAAACCACTTCAACTCTTCAAGTGAATATTTTACAAAATGAAAATGACATATTCATACACAGAGAATAAAAGAAAACCTGCACACAGTTTTCAGAAATATTTTAAAGACGGGGTATTATACTTCTGTGGGGTATTTCCTCCTGATGCATCACATATTTCCTTTTATTGTTTTGAAAATGCAGTATCCCCAAAATATTAACATGATTTATAAGCTTTACTTTTTGTTTTTGATGCTCTGAGTCAGAGTGCGTCCCGCTAATGAATTGACGGCACATCGCATCAGGTTTGTGAAGTTGTTGTATCAGTTTTGTATCATGTTTAGTTTGTGGTGTGGGAGCATGGGGGATGTAGGCTTGTGGGCGGAGCCTTGTACAGAATTTTACAACGAACCGTAAGAAAGGTTCAAAAAGGGTCCAAGCGAGATGAACCAGGACTAAACCAGGGCTAAACCAGGACTAAACAGGACTAAACCAGGACTAAACAGGACTAAACCAGGATGGAACAAAGACTAAACTAGGACTGAACCAGGACTAAACCAAGACTGACCCAGGACTAAACCAGGATTGAACTAGAACTAAACCAGGACTAAACCAGGACTAAACCAGGACTGAACCAAGACTAAACCAGGATGGAACAAAGACTAAACTAGGACTGAACCAGGACTAAACCAAGACTGACCCAGGACTAAACCAGGATTGAACTAGAACTAAACCAGGACTAAACCAGGACTAAACCAGGACTGAACCAAGACTAAACCAGGACTAAACCAGGACTGAACCAGGACTGAACTTGGACTAAACCAGGAATGAACCAGGAATGAACCAGGAATGAACCGGGGCTGAACCAGGACTAAACCAGGACTGAACCGGGACTGAACCAAGATCAAACCAGGACTAAACTAGGACTAAACCAGGACTAAACAAAGTCACTCTGAAATCGAGTCCAGAGGAAGGATACGAGAGGAAGGGGGAAACAAAAATCTGATCTGTACAAGGAAGCATCTGGATTAGACCTGGTTTAGTCCTGGTTTAGTCCTGGTTTAGACCTGGTTTAGACCTGGTTTAGTCCTGGTTTAGTCCTGGTTTAGACCTGGTTCAGTCCTGGTTCAGTCCTGGTTCAGTCCTGGTTTAGACCTGGTTTAGTCCTGGTTTAGACCTGGTTTAGTCGTGTCTTAGTTCTGCTTTCGAGTTGGTTTGATCCTGGTTTAGTCCCGGTTTACTAAATTACTCAAACATGCACGGATGACATGTAAAACCTCTTCAAGTTGTTACATAATACCCCCTCTTTAAAAGCTCTGAAAAAAAGATTTTAAAAAAGGACTTCTTTTTGGAGCTTTAACCCTGCTCTGATGTGAAGAAATGTTCCGCAGTGGGTCTTTAGCTCTGTTTGTTTCAGTCACAAGGTTGCGTCATCCTATAGATCAAGTCGCATTTCGTTGTGACATTATCAGGTGGTGATCCAGGAGTGCTCCTCTGTGTTTTTAAAGTCCATACATTCACACACTGTACAATTAATTAAATTCAGAAATAGCAGATATTGTTTTTAGCCTGATTTAAACTGATTTTTTATAGATAATAGTTAAATTACTCCAAACATCTACATTATATTAAACTGCAGTATAGAAGTTTACAGTGTGATGTTAGTTTTATTTATCTCCAAGGACACAAGCAAACAGCTGGAACTGAAAAAATCGTTTCAGTTTTCACTATTTAAAAGACATCGTACATTTTTGTTTATTACATACTAATACTTCTTCTTTCTGTAACCCGTGGATCTGTAGACAGTGTTGGGGAGTAACAGATTACATGTACCAGAGTTACATAATCAGAGTACAAATTATGAGTAACTGTATTCAGTTACAGTTACTGTTTCAGAGACTGGTAATTGGATTACAGTTACTTTGCTGAAATAAATGGACTACATGGCTTTTTTTTTTTTTCGGTAATTCCACTCATTGCCGGACACTAAAACAGGTCTAAACTAGATCTAAATCAGGACTAAACCAGGACTAAAACCAGGTCTTAACCAGGACTAAACCAAGACTAAAACCAGGTCTTAACCAGGACTAAACCAAGACTAAAACCAGGTCTAAACCAGGACTAAACCAAGACTAAAACCAGGTCTAAACCAGGACTTAAACCAGTTCTAAACCAGTTCTAAACCAGGTCTAAAACCAGGACTAAACCAAGACTAAACCAAGACTAAAACCAGGCCTAAACTAGATCTAAACCAGGACTAAAACCAGGTCTAAACCAGATCTAAAATAGATCTAAACCAGGTCTAAATTAGATCTAAACTAGATCTAAACCAGGACTTAACCAGGAATAAAACCAGGACTAAAACAGGATTTAACAGGACTAAATCATGCTGCGCTGACATGTCTCCTCGTCTTCTATCAATAATATATTTAATACTGTTAAGGAAAGTCTGGGCCTTTTATTTTCTTTTAGCAGATAAAATATCTTATGTTACGATTTCCTCGTCTTTGCTTCTCTACAGAAAATCAAGTAATCCAAAGTATTCAGATTACGTTACTCACTTTAAGTAATTTAATGGATTACGTTAAAAACTACATTCTGGGGTCTGTAATCTGTAATCTGTAATCTGTAGGGGAATACATTTTAAAAGTCACCTTCCCAACACTGTCTGTAGATCACTGTCTGTAGATCACTGGCTCCAGTACCACCAGATCTAAACCAGGTCTAATCTTGGACTTTTCCACATCTAAAAGTGGACTACATCATTTCCACTGGAGTTTAAACAGAAAAGTGGGTCAAATGAAAATAGTAAAAGAGGCAAACCCACAAACTGAAGAGCACCAAGTCCCACCTGAAGGAGCTGGACCACAGGTTGAGGAACGCCGCTGGAGGACAGCCCATGGAGACATACAGGTGGTAAAGTTACACAGTGCATCTTTTTACACTACAAAACAAAAGCAGTTAAACAAAAGTCATGCTGGTTTATTGGTCTGATAATACTTCTGGATAATATCGATGCAGAAGGCTCCATGTGGATTAAATGTCAAAATATGAAATTAAGAAATAAAGATATAAAAGTAACAGTTGGCCAAACCTAACTAAATACTGTAAATACTGTACAACATTATAATAATCTGTAGTAGTTTTATGGCTAAAGGCAAACCAAGAAACAGCACTGCAAAAAATCCTATCCACCAGAGTTAGAACACAAACAGCACGCTCTAATGCTACAGTGATTCTCTGGTCTGAAAGAGTCTTCCAGAAGTTTTCATTAGTACTACTTCAAGATTAGATGATACTTTTCACTTCTACTTATGTACACACAACTGGACAAACGCTGTGTAAAAGAAAAAAAAATCTTTTTAAAGAGGGAGTATACATGTATCACGAATCTCGGACTTCTGGTCACTGCGCAATTCATACTGGGAAGGATTTTCCAAAAAAGTGAGCATCAAACCGCTATGTTTGTTTTCCCAGTGGGATGTGTCTAGCGTCAAAGTCGATATTTTCTAGTCTTTTGAACCATATCACTTTTGTTTCTGGTTCTGATATTGTTATATTTTAGTTTTGGGATTCGGACTTTGTTAACTGTGTGGTTGTTGGATCCTAACAGCAGAAAATGGCTCGAGAAATTTGTTTGCAAACTCCATAAATGCAAAAGGGAATCAGATGTGTGTGACTGTAAACCTCTGTTCAAACTGTTTCTCTTCCCAACGGAATTGAAAAATAGTGAAAGGTGAAGGTGATGGGCAGGATTGATCCACAGGAAGAACCAAAAAGGAAACATTTGACTGCCTAAATCATCCCAAGTTTGCAGTGAACATTTTGTATGTGGAGTGCCATCAAAGCAGGATCCTGTTTGTTAATGGAGAGGAGCAGAAGACAAACAGAGTGAGCTGCACTTTCTTGTTCTTGTGGTTTTACAGAAACATCATGTCTTGGTCTCTTTGCAGTGGAAGGTGTTTCTTGGTGAACAGTTGGTGCCTTTCGCTTTGGTGTTGACTTTTTAAATTCATAATCAAGGTTGAGTGAGGGATAGAGGGATTTTGTTTTGTTGTCGCTCCACATACAAAATGTTCTCTGCAAACTCAGGATGATTTCTTAGACAGTGAAAGGTGACCTTTTTCGTCCTTTTTCGTTTGATGCTCACTTTTTCAGAAAATCCTTCCCAGTATGCATTGCGCAATGACCAGAAGTCTGAAATTCTTGATGCATGTATTAACTGTAACACAGAACATATTTAGATCACCATGTTCCTTTTATTGTCCTAAAAAGGCTATATTCACCCACAACATCATATGAAAATGTTTTATAAGTTTCATTTTCATTTTTGACACTCTCCCCTCCTTTTGCTCCCCGACACTCCCCCTTCAGAGCGCTATAACAACAGGATTAGTCAAACATGTATGGGTGACGTCTCAAACCTGTTCAGGTGTGTTTTTGATGAAGGAACAATGTTAGAACATGGTGAAAAGAAACAAAAATGTTTCTACATAATACTCCCTCTTTAAAGTAAATTTAAGTGTCAAAATGTGACACTTAAAGTTACCGACTAAATACTTAAAGTTACAGTCCAAATAATTCTACTTCAAAGCACTGTTAACTACTTCAATGAGATAATGTATAGTAGTTACAACTCTTGACAAACTTTCTCAAGTAAATTGCCGCTTTCTTACTTAGATATTTGAGGAAAAAAGCAGAAAGAAATATTTCTAAATAATTACAATTTGAAAATATATCTATTTAAAAATCTATTAACTCAATTTTGACTCACTTTCAGTCCTCTTTTCTCATGTGGATATTCCTTTTTGCAGTGTTCAAAAGTCTAACACAAGTTTGGTCAAAAACAGTTCGCTACAGCAGATGCTTGAGTAGCCCCTCCTCCCGTCCCGATTTGGTCATTTTCCTGTCTCCTTCAGAAATATTTCAAGACCTTAATAACATTAGCAGCAGCCTGGGTAACATGATCTTGGTAATCTAATGTCCCTGTGTGTCAGATGCCCTCCCATGTGTGTCAGATGCCCTCCCATGTGTGTCAGATGCCCTCCCATGTGTGTCAGATGCCCTCCCTGTATCTCTATGGGGTCTTATTCTGTATAAAAGTAACTCTGTAGTTCATTTTTACTTTCTGAAATGCATTATTGGGTTAGTTTATAGTTGAGATTTCAGTCTTTTCCAAAAAAAAATAAAAATAAAAATCACCAAATCGGAAAAAAGTTCTATTTTTTTGACAGTCCTAATAACATTTCTATGCAGGAAAAATCATTTCTGTTTAAACTGAGATGGGGGCAGGTCAAATGTCTCTAGTTAATCTGCAGATGTGGTGGTGTGTCAGATGCCCTCCCAGATGCTGAAGGGGAATGGAGTTTTTCAGTGATACAAAAGATCATGGGAAAAACAGTGGTGGATTTGACTTTTGGAGATTTCCTATGAAAATACCAGAGGATGAGACAGAATCCTAGCTCTGCTCATCACAAATTCTTAAAATAAATAATTCGGACTCCAGTCTTTCCTTGCACACTTCGGGTTTTCCCATCGGTACAAACCGTGTGGTCGCGTTTATCTTTGAATGGACAGAGTGATCGGAGGGAGCAGAGTCTGAGATGCAGTCCTGCCTCTCACAGGTAGGGGGCGGGCGGTGGCAGGCGGAGTCGCGGGCCTGTGATTGGGCCGTACCTGCACACAGCTGTAGGGGGCGCTCTTCTCTCCAGAGCAGAGCAGGTACATGTTTAAGGGACAGCGACAGGCCAGGTTCTGAAATACACAAGTACATTTAGAGTTACTAGAATTCAGACGTTTATGTGATTGATTTATTTGATAATTCTTTTGGTTACAGACATACAGCCGGCCAGCAGAAGAAGAGTTTTAATAAGAAAATATCCATCCTGATGAAGGGATAACGGTGTAATAATAGTTGGTATAAAGAGCACTCAATTAGAGCCCTGCAGTCCGGGACCCGACGCAAACCACTGCAATGCGGGACACATTTTGAAAGCTCGCTGCGGGCGCGGGCGGGAGTGGGACTAAACAACGCAGGAGCGGGTGGGAGGGATGATAAACTGCAGTCCCGCAAACTAAATATGAGTATAAAGTAAAATATACAAAAAATGAATTTAAGCATATCATGCATAATTTGTGCTGGAGATTTTATTTGGCATTAATAAAAACATTTTAAGCAGCAGACCGTCCCCCTCCCCGTACGCCTGACCCACCTGTCCCATACGCCGCGTGGACAGTCCTTCCTTCCAAGTATGCCGCGCGAACAGTCCCCCCTCCTACGCCATGCAAACAGTCCCCCCACGTCCCGTACGCCGCGGGAATAGTCCCCCCGCGTCCCTTACACTGCGCGAACAGTCCCTCCTTCTGTACGTCGTGCGGCCTGCGCCACTAAACCAGAAGTAAATCAAAACTAAACCAGAACTAAACCAGAACTAAACCAGGACTAAATCAGGTCTAAAAACAGGACTAAAACGGGATTTAGACAGGACTTAACTATGCCGCCGGACCGCCCACCGCGCCTCCTCCCATATGCAGCCCAATTCCTTTCCTTTTGTTTGATAGAGTTTAAGAAAGCAAAGGTTCCCATCCTGCGGGACTTGCGGGCGCGGGACAAAATATCGCAGATGCGGGCGGGCGGGAGCAGGACTGACAATTACAATTCTTTGCGGGAGCGGGCGGGCGCGGGACTGCACAGTGCGGGAGCAGGTGGGAGCAGGACTGAAAATTGTGTCCCGCGCAGACCTCTACACTCAATCCTTCAAGGCAATACAAACTTAAACAGGAACTAGTCACAACAGTGTGAGTAAGTGAACGATGAGGGAACTCCTTTGTTACGTGGTTAAAAGCTCCTAAGAATTCATAGTGAATAATGTGTCTAGGGAAGATTATTTGTTTCATCAGATTTTGAATTTCCCGTTGAATTTCTCACTTTCTTTAACTGAAACATGTCTGAATTATTTTTATTCTGAATGTCAGTTAAATAAATTATGTGTACATTTTCAAAGTGTTTAAAATTCAATATAAAAAAAAGAAATAAATCACCATCAGTGTGTAAAATTTGCGGAGAAAAAAAGGAAACAGCCTCTGTCCTCCTCGCTCACACATGATCGATTGCTTCTGCCTTGGCATCTTGGGTCTTTGCTGCAAATCTTTTCCCTGCGAGCTTTGTGGAACTTCCGGTTAATGATTTTCTATGGCAAAATGTTTGTGTAAATGTCTTGCCTACTCTCCAGCAGTTTCATAAATCTTCCCCATCACCAAATCTTCAATCAACAAGCTATACAAAGGATAAACATTCTAACATGAACAATTTATCCACAACTAACAAGAGAAGAAAGACCAAAACTTAAAAGAAACAACGATGACGCATTAGAGAATTACTGAGCAAAACTAACTTACAAAAATAACTATTACCCCCACCCCAACACCTACTCAAGCAACAGTATGTGTTAAGGCCCTAAACCCCGGTACAGTCTGTTGTCAAGTAAGTGAAGAAGAACGCTGATCACATTTGACAGTTTAGTGCAGACTTCAACTTTCTTTCAACCAGACAAAAAGGTGCTACCTGGTACCAACGTTGACAAAAAAACGACCAATTCTACATTCTCCCCAACCCTTCTAGAGCCCCCATCTGTCCCCAGCCCCGGTGCTCCGTCCTGGGGTAGTGCGTCCGTCTGTCTGTTGTGGTGGAGGTGTGGTTGCTGGAATGTTGCAGGTGTAAAATCGGCTCCTCTTGTCACACTCCTCTGTGCACATTCTACTCTATAATCTGCCATATTTTCCGCACTATAGGGCGCACTCAAAAAAACCTCCAACCCCATCAAAAAATTACTGGGCACCCCACAATCCAGAGCCCCTATACACCAATCCACTCGGGTGTCCCAGCACGATTTCATTGAACTACAAAGCTGCAGCACCCACAGAACACGCAAACACACACGGAGCAGACAGCGACCGCACAGCGACAAACACCTACAGACACACTCATCACTCCACGCAGACGAGGAACGGGATAAGCAATGTCATTCAACTACCTGTTTTTACTGATTTTATCTTGAAATAATTGGACTGATAAACACCAAAACAACCAGAGAACCTTTTAATTCATTCATCAAAGTTGCTTTTATTTTCAGTTTGTTTCAGTTTCAGGATGCACCTGCAGTGTAGAGTCAGACACCGTGGTTCTAACTGCACTGATGCAATCGGTGATCACAATGACATCCACACCGTTTGATTTCTCCTGAAACAGCTGCAGTCTCTCTTTTAATCCACTCACATCGATACAGCCTGTCTGTACAAACATTGCAAACTTTGCACCAAAACCACCCAAACTTGTCCTCAGACGCTCCATCCTGCTGATCCTTGTTTGGTTGTACATCTTCACTGCAGTTTATGTTTTTGTTTTTTTTTAATTGTGTATTTTTTAATTTAATTATAATGTTATGGTATGCTAGAGATGTCTCACATTCAAACTGCACAAATGTATCTATCTATACTTATACTGACATCATGAAATCAATTTTTAATTTTGAGTGACCAAGTTTCTTCTGTTTTATTCATGATCATAACATTAGTTTAGTTGAGTGTCACTAATGCGTCGTCATTGTTTCCTTTTTGGTTTTGGTCTTTCTTCTCTTGATAGTTGTGGATAAATTGTTCATGAAGAATGTTTATTCTTTGTGGAGCTTGTTGGTTGAAGATTTGGTGATGGGGCAGATTTATGAAGCTGCTGGAGAATACTAGGGAATGATCAATAAATCGGTTGCCTCATATTATCAACCAGTATGGGCACTTGGAGACATATTGACTTATCGGCCTAAATCTTGCCAATCTGGGCCAATAGTCGACATGGGCATGTTATACCTCGTTATAAAGCTTAGACTCTATATTATACCAATTTAATCCATTTTATAAACAGGTAAATGTGGTGTCGCATCAATATGTATCTAGTGGAGTAATTTGTCTGTCTGTGATGCCATACTGCCCCTGAACGCACCTTCAGAGTCACGTCACTCTCGTGCTCTTGCTTACACACACAACTGTCAACATGCTGGATTTTATTATATTTATGGGTGATTGTTTTGAGTCAGGATTGCAAGGACACCTATTTGTGAAGACTGTGAGTTGTCTGTGTGAGCGCCGAGTGTTACAAATGTGCAGTTTTTGAAGATATTTTTGATGAAGCTCCCACACATAAACAGCCTGTTTTCTTTCATTGGCCTAGAGTAAAGTGACTATAGTGATTGTACATGTTATTGGACCTGCATTGACATGTAAATGAGCTGTGAATAGAGGTGTGAATGATCGGCATTTACACACATAATTAATTACCACAGCACACATGCATTTACCACTAAAGCCTAAGTAGTTTACTTACTTTACTTTATTTACAGGCTAGAATGTGATACAAAAATGGCATTAGGCCGACCTACTGTCTTTAAATATAACGTAAAGATGCAGAATAACAATAAATGTCGCCCAAAATCAACCCAATTTAACATCCACGAGAGCCAGACCTATGTTTTATAACCAGTTGAAGATTTATAGTCAGTTTTTACATCACTAAATATATCGGCTTTTATATTGGCTATCAGCATCTCCAAATCCGTAAAATCCATATCGGTAGGGTCCTAGAGAATACACCAGACATCTCCACAGACGTTTTGTCATAGAAAGTAATTAACAGGAACTTGTATTGAATATTTAAAAGGTGCAATTTGTATTTTGAATTTGAAACATACTGAAAACTTATACTTAAAATTTCAGCAACTAAAATTCTGAATAAAAATAGAGTAACACTTTATAATAACTACACCTTATTTAGCCTTAATAAAGCATGAACAAAGACTTAATTAATAATGATTCACGCTTAGTAACTACTTAATTACTACCTGAATTAGCATTTAACTTGCACTTAATTCACCTGTGCTGTAAATAGTTACTCATAAGTATTTCTTACATAATTAGTCATGAACTAACCATTTGTGTGTGCATTTGTAAATGTATATTTAAGTACAAATTTGAGCATTTATTAATGATTAGTAAGCCATGTGAGAATGATTTACTAATAATGCATTATTGTTTCTCTGGAATTTGACCAACCTTAACAAATGCTTAATAAACATAATTAGTCTTCACTTTAGAAAAGCTCTCAGAAAGACTTAACTAACAGATAACAGCTGCCTGAATGATCATTGCATTGCATTGTAAGTAAATCATTCTCTCATAACTTACTAATCATTAATAAATGCTCAAATGTGTACTTAAATATGCATTTGTAAACATGCATGTTCATGAGTAATTAAGAAGTATTACAGCACAGGCGAATGAAGTGCAAGTTAAGTGCTAATTCAGGTAGTAATTAAGTAGTTACTAAGCATGAATCATTATTAATTAAGTCTTTGTTCATCCTTTATTAAGGCTAAATAAGGTGTAGTTATTATAAAGTGTTACCAAAAATAGTTAAAAGTTAAAATTTCAAAGTGAGAAATTCATCTGTATTTCAAATTCAAAATGGAATGAAACAAATGCTCTTCCACAGTGTGCCTGTTGAAGAGAAGAGTGTGGTCCTGACCTGTGTCACTTCTCCCTGTAGAAGAGCAGGTAGAGTTTGAGCGGCTCTGGGAGGGGCAGCGCCAGGATCCTCTCCCTGAGCACGTTCACCGAGGGCTGGGGTCTGAGCAGTTCCAGCGTCTCCCTTTCCTCCTCCGTCTCCCCCACGCCTTCCTCTTCGTCCCCCTCTTCTCTCTCCTCCTCTTCCTCCTCCTCTTCCTCCAGGCTCCTGCACACTCTCCGGCCCCTCCTCTGCTGTCGCGCGTGGGCCGCCCTCTCCCCGGACGCCTGCCGCTCCCCGGATGCTTCCTCCTCCTCTGGGACTCCACCCACGGTTGAGACTCCGCCCAGGCCCTGGTTGTTGTTGCCGTCTGGAGGAATGGGGCCTATACTGCTGCTGAACAGAACACAAATCAATCACAAATGACAGTTAAAGAAAGACAGAGTGCTTGTGTGCTCTATAGTTTTACTGTAATGTACCACACCTGAGGATCATTCTGTTATTATTTACATATTTTAAATTACAATGGCTGTGTCCGAATGTCTACTCTAGTCCCTAACCCCTCATTCACTACATAGGACCGGAATCATCGTTAGCGCCCTCTATAGTGCACTCATTCAAAGAGAGATTGGGACACACAGCTCAGTATATTTGGGTCCTGTGACTCTGGCGTCTGGGTGAAAAAATTCCACTAAACTCTGATAAAACTTGAGTTCTGTCATAAATAAAGATCAGATCAGACTGGCACACAGTATTTATGGACTAATAATAATCAGACAAGTTTTTGTCACACTGGATAAGATATCTTGCTGTGACCTGTATATATATAAAATATTTTATATTTTATTACTTATTTTAATTTTATTTTGACTTGTAAATTTACATGTATATAATTATGTCTTATATGACACCTGTCTCTTGCTCTTTTTTTGATACTTATTTAGAACTTATTTTACCATTTATATTTTTTCTCTTTGTTATTATATTATATTGTGATGTGTGACACCTGTGCTCAAATCATTTCCCTTGTGGATCAATAAAGTTTGTCTAAGTCTAAGTCTGAGTATAAATGGACTGGATTACTTGCTTTTTGTCTGAAATGTGGAAATGATTGCTCTGTTAACAGTTGGAGCTAAAATGGCTGACACTAGCACCACTAACACCATAGCAGTTTATTTATTCAGAATCAGGATCTAAAGAGTCATAAACCAGCTCTTTCATTCAGTCGTGTTGTGTCCACTGCTCGCTGTACGCTGCTGTTTTCCCGACTCACCCAGTGCATTGTGGTCATTATTGTCCGCTGTAGTGGCCACTGATGCTCGCTAAATTTTAAGGTGCATTGTGTGAAATTTTGAGTGCACTGCTTAACTTAACATGCCATTTTTTGAAAAAAATGGCGTGACCCCTAAATAGTGCTCTAATAGTGTGGACATTCGGACACAGCAAATATTTGACCTAAAACAACTTAAAAAGAGACTAAACTCCATCCACAAGCACATTTCAAACAGAGCTGCTAAACTGGGCAGAACCTGGAGGACTAAAGGAGGGGGGGGGGGGGGGGGGGGAGAAGGGGTCTGAAGGACTAAAGGGGAGAGTGAGGGGGAGGAGGAGGGGCGGGGTCTGGAGGACTAAAGGGGAGAGTGAGGGGGGAGGAGGAGGGGTGGGGTCTAAAGGACTAAAGGGGAGAGTGAGGAGGGGGGGAGAGGAGGTGGGGGGGTCTAGAGGACTAAAGGGGAGAGTGAGGGGAGGAGGAGGGGTGGGGTCTGGAGGACTAAAGGGGAGAGTGAGGGGGGAGGAGGAGGGGTGGGGTCTGGAGGACTAAAGGGGAGAGTGAGGGGGAGGGAGGAGGGGTGGGGGGTCTGGAGGACTAAAGGGGAGAGTGAGGGGGAGAGGAGGAGGGTGGGGTCTGGAGGACTAAAGGGGAGAGTGAGGGGGAGGAGGAGGAGGTGGGGGGTCTAAGGAGGACTAAAAGGGGAGAGTGGAGGGGGAGGGGAGGACTAAAGGGAGGAGGGGGAGGACTAAAGGAGGGAGAAAGGGGGAGGAGGGGAGGAGGAGGGGTGGGGTCTGGAGGACTAAAGGAGAGTGAGGGAGGGAGGGGTGGTGGAAACTAAGGAGAGTGAGGGGAGAAGGAGGGTGGGTCTAAAAGGACTAAAGGGGAGAGTGAGGGGGGAGGAGGGGCGGGGTCTAAAGGACCAAAGGGGAGAGTGAGGGGGAGAGGAGGGGGCGGGGTCTAAAGGACCAAAGGGTGAGAGGAGGGGCGGGGTCAAAAGGACTAAAAGGGAGAGTAAGGAAGGAGGAGGAGGGGTGGGGTCTGGAGGTATAAGGAACAGTGTGATTGGTTGAACAGGTTTCCACACTTCAAACTCAGGTGTTTGTATCAGAAACACGTGTCTGTAATCAGTCCTGTGTGATGTCACGTAGTACTTGAATTTGCAGTGGCCACAGGAAGCAGCATGTTTTTTTGTTTGTTTTTTTTATCCACAAAGCTGCAAAAGGTACTATTTTCAGACATCCTCCCCGAGAGTCAGATGCCCTCCCTCCAGTGCCTCGGCCGCCTCACCTGTGTGTGCTGGCCACCACCTGTCTGGTTGCGAGCACCAGAGCGTTGCAGTGGCGTCTGTGGACTCTGCGGCGCTTGAACCTCGAGCCGTATTTGTGGAGCCCGGCGACCGCCAGCCCCCGACTCACGCCGAACGCCGCCCGCCCCCGTGGCGAGCTGTGAGGGGCGGGGCTAACTCTGAGTGCGTGACGGATACAGAACCGAGACAGCTCCTGTAGAGAGCGCACCTCGTACTGAGCTGCAATACACAACATACAAACACATGAGAACACCCTGTGTGTCAGATGCCCTCCCCGTGTCAGATTGTGTCAGATGCTCTCTCTCTCTCTCTCTCCCTGTTCCTTAGATTGTGTCAGATGCCCTTCCTCTTTAGATCACATCAGATGCCATTCTTCTATTAGGCTACGTTCAGACTGCAGCCTGAAGTGACCCAAATCTAATTTTTTGGCCCCTATGCTCCTGTATCTGATGTTTTAATGACAGTCTGAACCACACAGATCTGATTTTTTCAAATGTGACCCAGGACACTTGGATATGTGCTCCTAAAACCGATACATATCTGATCGTTTGACACGTGACTTCAGTCTGAACGGCCAGGTCACATTCATCCCACCTACAGGTCACAAATGTTCACAGACGTTCTTCTCGCCACATGAAAATTGTGTCTGAACTCATTATGAGTGAAGCAGTGAAGCACAGATCAATCCCACCACGACTCCACACACATGTTCATTTCTACAGACGTTGCTGCCACTGTCCCACAAAATGCCATGACCAAAAATCTCGTCCTTGTCCTTCTCAATCTTGTCCTTATTTCATAGGTCCTGAATAAACCTTGTCCTTCTCAATAAGCTGTACATGTTCTGGCTCCGATAGACAGCAACTTTAAAATCTCCAAGTGCTCAATGCTGCGTCCATGTTTAGGTGCCTTCCGTAAACACTAAGCACAGTCGCTGTGTGTGATGTCGTCGTGTCCTCCAATGCTCAGTTCACACTGGAGTCACATACAAGTAGCTTTTAATTGGAAATGTGAACAACCTCACAAAAAAAAGTCATATTTCACAAAAAACTCTGAATTGAATATTAAGCCAGTTACCAATTGCAGTCTGAACGTAGCCTTAGACATCAGATGCCCTCCCTGTGTGTCAGATTGTGTCACATCCTCTCTCTCCCTCCCTTAGATTGTGTCAGGTGCCCTCCCTCTTTTAGATCACGTCAGATGCCCTCCTTGTGAGTCAGATGCCCCTCTCGCTCTCAGATTGAATAAGATGCCCTCTGCCCTCTGTCAGATGCCTTTTCTGTACGTCAGTTTGAGTCAGATACCCTTTCCATGTGGTGGTCATGTTAAATGCCCTTCCTGTGTGTCAGATTGTGTCAGATGCCCTCCCTCCCAGTCTCTTACGCAGAGGCACAGTCCTGGGTCTTCCGTTGCTAGGTTTGGGTTGGACCAGAGGAGCGAATGACACAGAGATGATCTTCTTGGTCTCCCAGCTGTTGGTCCCAGTGCGAGTGATCTTTGTCAGCTGAAAAATACAATGACAATATTGGAATGTAGATCAAAAGAGAGTAGAAACGCTTAAGTAAATGAACGATCAGTGGTCAGTTATAGTTTTTAATGCAGAGGTAATGCTACAGCCAATCCTATGTCAGTAAAAGCATGTGATTTGGAGAGACTTTGGAGGAGGAAGTGTGATTTTTGCTTTAAATGACAAAATGATAAAGGCCTGTATTTTTTAGGTTCAACAAAATAAAGATTAAATTTAAAATACCGTATTTTTCAGACTGTAAGTGTCACTTTTTTCATGGTTTGTGTGTTTCCTGTGACTTATACTCCAGTGCGACTTATATATTAAAATGTTGAGAGTGAAGCGTGGACAGGATCTAGTCTTGTGTGTGAGTATGTGCTGCTCCTGTTCCTCCTGTACCACTGTCATTTCACTCTACTGCACATGTCTCCTGCAGAAAGAGCCTCTGTTCTGTCTGTATCATGTCAGTCGATCGCACCATTACTTCTGCACCACTGAACAATGTAACATTTAAACAAACTTATGAAGATGACTGAGAAGACTGAACACAAATGCCCCCGAAAAGAAAATCAGATTTTGCAGATTACAAACTGGAAATCGTGAAATCTGCAGCTGAAAACGATCATCGAGCAGCAGAAAGAAAGTTTGGAGTGAGAGAGAAACTTGTGACTCTGGGAAGATGCACCATGAAACTTTCCTGAAGTCACTGGATGGATGGACAAAGCCTGGACTTCAGTGACACCGAAACCATCATGTTGGGATTCAGAAAGGCCCCAATATTCTAACTGGAACTGATGCTGAGTCTGACGACAGCGACACAGAAGAGTTTGTGGTGCTCTGTTTACCTCTGGAGGTCGAGTTGTTTAGAAGTGACATTGAGGATGAAGAATTGAAGTGATTTAGTGATTTGGACTGAGATGGAGAGTTTGGTAAACTTGTTCTGTCCTGTTGTTTATGCTAGTTATCTGAAGAACTGTTCATATGTTTCAAAATGAAATATCGCTTCTTTCCCCAGAAAATTTCCCCCCAAAAATGATGATCCAGTGCGACTTATATGTTTTTTTTCTTCTTCATTATACATTCTTTGGCTATATCTTCTATATTCCAGAGCGATTTATAGTCTGAAAAATACGGTGCAGGGGTTTTGTGGATTTTTTTAAGAAAAAATGCAATTCAATTAACTTTTTTGAGGTCATGCTAGTGTTGTCATGATTTCAAACTTGATTTGACCCTACCTCATGTCAAATCTTAAGTCTTTTTTTTTGCTTTTGTAGTTGGATGAACATTCTTATTGATTGTTCACAAATATTCTGTAGTGTTTTTAGTTTCAGAAAGCCTGACAGTAGTTGCAGTCACATGCACACCTAAAATCAGATTATCAGGATTTTCTGGACCTTTAAGATTATTGGCTGCATGTAACCGCAGTCAGTGACTAAGCCCATTCCATTTTTGTTTTTACGCTCATAACAAATCCAGAAGTTATCTCCAGACCTTCTCCTCGAGGGGCATGACGAGCACTCCTCCAATCTTCAGCAGGTTCTTCATGTACTCCTCGTGTTCCTTCTGGACTCCGGCTCCACAGTAAACCCGGTCGTACTGCCTCGAGTGTGGGGGGATGTCCAGGCAGTTCCCCACCACAAAGGAGGGCTCGCAGAACTCAAACCTGACACAGACACAGGAGATCACAACACGAGAAACACAGACACAGAGGAGGAGACGGGCGGGTCAGGTACGCACCTGTCGAAGCTGTCGCAGGTCTTGATAAAGCGTTCCAGTTTCTGATAGGCGTATTCCATCACATCTGCATGGAGCTCTATGCCGTGGTTCACTCCAAAAGGACCTGAACACAAAAAGGTACAGTGCAGTGGGACAAAGTTATTCCACATTTACTTTAAGCATTGATGAGTTTATACAACTGACGCAGAGCAAAGTTTTATCTTGACAGTAAACCAAACAACAACTATCATGCCAAACGCTTAGATTGTACACACTGGTTTTGGTCTTTTTGGTCTTTTCAGTACAAAATTTTATCAGAACAAACATAAATACATGTGATCCTCTAGGTGCACAGTACATACATAAAGTGGTTCAATTACAGATTATATCAGGGGTGTCAAACATACGGCCCGGGGGCCAGATCCGGCCCTCCAAGACCTTTAATCTGGCCCTCGGCTGATTTTCTCCTAAAATATTTGAATTATATTTTCTATTAAAATCTTGTTAATTTTCTGTGGTGTTTATCACAGCAGCGTCTCCAGTGTCTCTGTACGTGGCCCCTCCCACCAGAGCAGCACAAATGAAGACTTGTCTCTTTCCAAACGCTCTTAAAGGACGATCGTTTTGACTGTTGACCGTGACACCCTCATCAGAAAAATGTCCAACATGAGAAAAGTGAACACCGAGTGCAGGATTTTCCGAGAAAAATGTATTTATTCCTATTTGCAAAGAAGTTCATGTTAAAACATTGTGTTGAAATTGCATTTTTCTTAAAGTTTTAGGTTGTTCATAATATTATAATATTTTGTAAAAGAAAGAGTTCATTAAAAAAAGATTTCTGTAATAGATTTGTGTTTCTCTGCACCAATATTTGATGTTATTGTATTTTTTGGGGTTTATATGCCATGAGTTTTCTGATCCGGCCCCTTTGGAATCAAAGTAGGTTGGGTACGGCCTCTGGACCAAAATGAGTTTGACACTCCTGGGTTATATAGTTGTACATATAGTGGTACACAGTGGCACATACCCAGGATGAGCCCCACCATGGTGCTCAGGTAGCCCGTCCCACTGCCCAGGTTGAGGAAGGAGAGTCCAGGGTGAAGGTCCAGAGCCTCCATCACCTCAGAGTAAATACAAGGAGCAGACAGGTGGATGTTCCCATGTCTCCAGGCTAAGTCCTACAGGAGAGACAACATTACAGTTATAATGCACTATAGTACATAGCACATAGTCTATAGTCTATGGTCCAGACCAAGTCCTACAGGAAAGACAGACGTTTAGTTATGATGCATAAGCTGAAACATGCCAATTAAATACGTGTTCAACAAGTTTTCATGTAAACAGTTCCATCTGATGCAAGTACAAACTTATGTGACAAAGACAAAAGTGAAAGAGGAAACATTAAATACTGAAAAAGTAGTTTTTAAATTAAATGTACTTTGTCTCCATATACAACAGTTCCTCTAAAAATCCTCTGATTCACTGAGACATGTCACCAGGTGTTTTTCACAGTCAGATTTATCTTGTGCTGTAAACACCAAAAATCTCAGCTAATTACTAAATTATCAGATTATTCTAGTGAAGTGATTTGTCCCTGTACTCATCGAGGTAGTAGCAGCAATAGTAGTAGCAGCAGTAGTACTAGCAGTAGTAGTAGCAGAATTAGTAGTAGTAGTACCTTATAAGCATTGTCCTTGTACTCATCAAGGTAGTAGCAGCAATAGTAGTAGTAGTAGTAGTATAATAGTAGTAGTAGTAGTAGTAGTACCTTATAAGCGTTGTCCCTGTACTCATCAAGGTAGTAGCAGCAGCAGTAGTAGTAGTAGCAGTAGTAGTAGTAGTAGTAGCAGTAGTACCTTATAAGCATTGTTCCTGTACTCATCGAGGTAGTAGCAGCAGTAGTAGTAGCAGTAGTACCTTATAAGCGTTGTCCCTGTACTCATCGAGGTAGTAGCAGCAGTAGTAGTAGTAGCAGTAGTAGTAGTAGCAGTAGTACCTTATAAGCGTTGTCCCTGTACTCATCGAGGTAGTAGTCTGCGCGGTCTATGGCTCTGAAGGCCCTCTCCACCAGCTCAGAGCGGATGTAGTAGGCCTCCTTGAGGTTATCGATGAGGTCATCGTTGTCCTCGCCTGCACTCACGGCCCCTCCCATCCTGATGCACACACACTGCAAAACAACACACATTATGATATGGTTACTATGGAAATGACACAATTCCTCCATTAGCATCAGTATGGTAATGGTTCCGGAAATCAGATACCAATTGATACTCAAATAAGTATTGAAACTAGACACTCATTTGAACAGGTATCGATACTAAAAAAGTCCCATTGACACTTTCCTGAATGTGTTTAGAATGATGTGGAGCTTTATCAGAACAAGTATAAGAGCACATAGACTAGTACACACACATGGACCACCATGAACCTACTGGACCACTAAGGGATTACATACATATAAGACACATGGGAAAAGAAAAGAAAGTACTAGTACATTTAATGAAGAAAATCACATATTGTTAAATCAAGAGTGTTTTTATTATCATCATGGTATCAGAAAGGTATTGAGTATCAAATCTATTCCTTAATATCGATATCAAGTTTATTCATGACAACACTAATGTCAAGACCCACAGAATGAAGTAAAGTTCACACATTTATTTCCTAGTGCATTTTTTAAAGGTGTAGTATGTAACTATATTATATCTGTTTACTGTTGTAGTATACATATAAATAGTATTTATCTGCCTTAAACTCTCTCTCATAAACTTCCTCATATCACAGGTACTAATAGTAGCACAGCTCTTTTGTCCCATGTGAAGAGCAATGCAAATGCAGAAGCATATTTCAAATAGTCTTATTGATCAGTGGTTCTCAAACTTTTCACACCAAGTACCACAAAAAAAAAGGCTTTCTGAGTACTACCGGATCTAAACCAGGAGGATTCCAGGTCTAGTCCAGGACAAAAAGTGGACTACCTAATTTTCACTGTGGTTTAAACAGAAATGATCCAAAGGAGGACAGAAAAGTGGATCAAACGAACTGTAAATAACATTAACAGACACCCATAAATATATAGAGAACTTTTTCAAAATACAAAACTTAAAAATCCAGGAAACTTAAATGAAAAACAAAACAGACCCTACACTCTCTTTTGACTTTTGAAGTCTTCTGTCAGATGAGTGCAACTTCTCCTGATTTCAGAGTCGTGTGAAAAGCCACAATTTAGACAAAACAGGAGCAGAGGGAGCAAAAGCTTCTGTAGAATTACAAAGGATCAAACGACCTTTCACCTTTTCACCTGTCCCCCTGCCCCCCCCTCTGTCCCCAGAGGAGGTTTCAGGGTTACACCACCATTACCATCCAACTCCAAAGCAATACTTAAACAAATCTAATCCTTACTGGGCCTAAAATAGACAAATATACTAACAGTTCTGTTAAAGTCTTTATCATATTCCTCATCACACACAGACCTGGAGTTGTGTTTTGTTTCATTTGCACATGTTTAACAAACAAACTCTGTAGATTTAGGCTGAGTTCTACTCTGCTCCACCTTGTGAGTCACTCCATACACCTTCACTAGAATCATCTGGACAAATTCAGCCGCGGAATTGCCAAAGTCTATTGGACAAAAGTAAACTACATGATATTAAAAGTTGGAAGCATTTTGAGTTTTAGAGATGTAGACAAACTAATAATGAAGGGTTACTTAAACATGTGTGAATGAAGCAAAACACAACTCTAGGTCTGTTTTTGAGGAAGTAACAACATTCTAACAAGGCTTAAAGCAGTCAATTTTGTATAATGTAGAGCTTTTAGCCATGTATTGTTTCTTGGTTACTGGGTTGAAGTTGTAATTTTGATCACTTTAGTAGATGGACATGATAAACATGGGTGCAGGTCTATCCAATGTCCCTCGAATTCTTATTATTAGCAGTAGTGTTTTTCTTTTGCAAATCTAAGGACCGCATGAGGGCAGTGTGTCTGTGGATCTGGTTCAGTAGGCTAGTGGAGTAGGCTCCTGCAAAACTGTGTCACCAATTATTTACACTTTATTCACATATTTACGACAGATCTGTGATAGATTTAAGCTCATTTGACAGGTTTTTAACTCGGATGTCATCCTTAGAGTCCCCGCACAGAGCAGCGTCCAGTCTCACGCACAGTTTTTAGTCTTCTCGGAGCTGCGCTGTTTATTTACGCCATTCCGCGGACCTATTTTCAATAAGCGAACACTTTAACAGCTTTAACGATGGACAAAGGACGTGTGATCATGCATATAAACAATAAGCATGTACCTGATGTCTTGTTTTTGGATGGTAAAGCCGAGCAAAAACGAGGAAAATACGTTGTTTTGTGCTAGCAGAAGGATAGACGCGAAAATGCACAGAATCGGTTGCGGTCGGTGTAAAAAGCTCTTAAAATTGCGCTCACGTCGGGTTTAAAATGTCTGATGTTAAAGCAGAGGATGTACCTGGGTGTTGCTGTGCAGAAGAGCGGCCTGTCCTCGTTTTTTTCCCCCGGGAAAGCGTGTGTTTGTCGGCGGAGCGGTGCACGACACTCCGCTGCTGCTCAGGATGTAAACATACGGGCCAGCTGACGCACTGACGTCACAGGGAGCGCGACGGAGCACGTTTGGCCTACTTTTATTATTATTATTATTATTTTTTTTTAATTTTAACTCAAGGGGTCATACAGTTAATGGAATAAATGAAACAAAATATCTTTACTCAACAAAATAAAATACAGGAATTTAAATACAGATTAAAAGAGTAAACAAAACTATTTTTTAGGAGTCATGATTGACGAAGATCTAAACTGGAGTTTCTCTCATATAAATTACATTAAAAGCAAAATTCTGAAGCCATTGCTGTGCTGCATGAAGTAAAGTTATCACTAAAGAGTGCAGTTTGATTAACCTTGTATAACTTTATAAATGCACCATATCTGATCTGAATTTGGGGGTCAACATGTAAAACTTACCTACAGCCACTATTTATTGTACAGAAAATGGGTTTGAGAATGATCACTAACAGAGACCCACCCAACCTATTTTTTGTTAAACTTAAAGTGTTAAAAATGCATTGTTACGACCCAGCTCGCTAGGGTTGGGAAGCAACAACAACAACAAAAATGTAACAATGTAACAGTACAGGCCAAAATATGTACATAAAGGGGTCAAACCAAAACAAAGCAAACTAACTGTACAGAAACTAACCAAAAGAACCGCAACACAAGATGAACCAACATACAAAGGTCATGCATGAAATCGAGTGTCTCGTACAAAGTCACACAAAATCTAAGTGACACAAAACTAGAGACACATTAACAAAGGAGCCGAAAAATATCAAAGTCACAGTCAAGGCCAGCAGCCCCAAACAGGTGCTGGCAGTCTCCTTAAACAGGGGAGGAGGCTGCAGGTGAGGCGGCCATAGACAAGCCCCACCAATCACAGACCAGGATCTCACAGCACGAATCCATGCGGACAAAAAAGAAATTAAAACACACACAAAACAAGTGAAGAAACTGGAGGCCTGGAGCTGTAACATGCTGATAACATGATATTCTTGGCTTAAGTCTTCTCAAAGTTATGTGTAAAGCAAAGTGCCATGAATTACCTGTAAATTTTCAAAGACTGTTTGAGATGAGAACAAACCACTACAATTTAAAAGGAACCTACATGTTTAAAAAACCCAGATTCAGAACTAAAGTGATGGAGCAAAGCTATGGAGTAAGAAAGCTGTCAAAAATATTCGTGCGCATAAAATAGAAATCCGTGCGTATTTGGGAAATCCGTGCATATTTGGCTGTAGTTGCACATAAAATAAATATTTGTAAACTCTCAAATGAGTCCAGTCGTACATAAAATATATTGCGTGTATTTTATCCATCAGAATACGAATTGAAAAATTACGATGTCATGAATTACAATCACGAAATGAAAATTTACGATCACGCTTTCATCAGTACGAATACGAATTCACAGACGGAACTTTACTGTCAAAAATACGTCAACACTTCACAGACATTATTCATCGAGCAGAAGAAACATCAATCAAGATCAAGACTGTGCAGCTCAAGTTTGTAGCAGAGGGTAAAAACAGAGTAATAGCACAAGAAGCTACAACAACGACCAACAAGTGGGTTCATTAAAATCTATTGTAAAAATGTATCTGAATGCAGCTGAAGTGAAGACTGGCTGATGCTCGCTGTGGCTGTAATCGTGAATGTTTTAATCTAAACATACAGAGAACCTGATATTTGCTAATTAGCCCTGGGATAACGTTACGTCGGATGTTAGCCAACTGGCTACCACTATGTTATCTAACATATAGGTGCAATTTCCCGTTCAAAGGAGGTGTTTCTACACAATATTATACAGCAGCGTTCGGTTCCCAAATTCAAGACATTTTTACAATAGATTTTAATTAACCCACTTGTTGGTCGCTGTTGTAGCTTCTTGTGCTATTACTCTGTTTTTACCCTCTGCTACAAACTTGAGCATGTGCAGTCTTGATCTTGATTTCTTCTGCTCGATGAATAATGTCTGTGAAGTGATTACGTATTTTTGACAGTAAAGTTCCGTCTGTGAATTCGTATTCGTACTGATGAAAGTGTAATCGTAAATTTTCATTTCGTGATTGTAATTCATGACGTCGTAATTTTTCAATTCGTATTCTGATGGATAAAATACACACAGTATATTTTATGTACGACTGGACTCATTTGAGAGTTTACAAATATTTATTTTATGCGCAACTACAGCCAAATATGCACGGATTTCCCAAATACGCACGGATTTCTATTTTATGCGCACGAATATTTTTGACAGCTTTCTTACTCCATACAAAGCGTCGCTGTGAAATGAGTTCACTTATGGAAGAGTGTTGACAAAGAAATCAAAGGATCAAGTACAATGACAACATTTTAAAAATACTTCAAATCCAGTACAATGTGTTTGTATGAAAAAGAAAACTAAGTTGTTGTGCATAAAAGTGATCTTTGTTTGCAATTGATTAATAATTGTCACTGTAATGAAATCTACTGATCTGAAATGTTTTAAAGTATCAGTGTTGATGTTTTGTCTGGAAAAGGAAAAAGGGTAGAAAAAATAAGACAACTCTACTTTCTGCTCCTTTTCATTTATATTTTGTATGTTTCACGTTGTGACACAGTTGATGTCTTTTTATACTTTATGAATGAAATTAACAAATAAAAAAAATAAATCAATAAATACAAGAAATTATAGCAGTTGGGAAATACAAAATGTAACAAATAAAACAAAATCAGGGGAGTAATATTTCTAGTAGAACAGAAAATACAGTCTTTTACCTTTCGGAGGAGACAACTGACCAGTGATTGATACTTTGATTTAAGTATTTCAGTTTGATGCAGATTATTTTAAGTATTTAATGGCCAAATTATACAGGGTGTCCCAAAAAACTGACTTCATTTCGCAGGCAAGTAATTTTGGCAATTCTTGTTGAAATAACCTAAAATATTCACAGAATATATAGAAACAAATCAAGATTTTATATTTAATGTTTAATTTTTGTTCTGTTTTCAGGTTGAGGCGTTCACTCCCAAAGAGAAGTCATTTTGCATCTTGGAATCTGCTGCACACACTCACCCAAGACTGTGAGAGCAAATGACGGTTTGGCGTATCCTGAGGAAACAACTGGAAATGAAATCCTACTGTCTGCAGCTCCTTCAGGCTTTAAAAGCAGATGTCAAACAAAAACATCAAGAATTCTGAGTTGACATGTTACAGAAACAAATGCCAAACCGTCATTCGAGGAATCTGGGTTTGCAAACTTGTTCTCCTTACGGACTTCTTGGGGCTTCACAAGAGTTGCTTTTTTTGTTTTTTGGGGGGTTTTTTTTGGTACCATGTCCAGATTTGTCTTGGGTGACTGTGTGTGAGCAGATTCCAAGACACAGAATGACTTCTCTTTGGGAATGAACAGAACAAAAATAAAACAATATAATAAATATAAAATCTTGACCTGTTTCTATACATTCTGTGAAAATTTGAGGTTATTTCAACAAGAATTGGCAAAATTATTGGCCTGCGAAAAGTCTGGGAAAAGTAACAGCTGTAGTCTAAGTTTGACCTACTTTTGAAAACATAAACAATAATAAATGAAATAATGATACAGTGTTTTTTTTAATGATGAATACAAGACATGAGGTTGGTCTACAAATGTCAAAATAATCAATAAAAATAAAAACTAAACATTCAAGTTCCAAAGCTACAGTGGAATTTCAGATCTTAAAGTCAGTGTCAGTGTCCTGCCTCTAAACTTAAGCAGCTTTATCCTATTGGACCATAATGTGGCTGCTCCTAAGCTTCTCAAACGGCATTAAAGCTGCACGGTGTAACTTTACTGTCCAACACTTGATTACCTTGACTACCTTAAGTTCACGCATGTCAAATGCTGCATATTTAGACTGAATTCTTCTTTCAGACTGAAAACACGCTCCTCCTTGTGATGTCATTAAGTGATGATACAGGAAGTGCTCAAATGTGTTCTTACTTCATACTCCATTAACTCCACACACCTTCACTAGAATCATTTGGATCATAATTTCAGCTCTAGAATTGCCAATCTTCTAAACTAAACTGTTAATTTAATGAATACTGCTTCATGACATCACAAGGTAGAGCAGAGCATTTTGAGCTCTGGAGATATGGACAGGATTATTCAAACATGTGTGAATGAAACAAAACTCAAATCCAGGTCTGTTTTTGAGAAGGTAACAACAAGCTCACTTTGTATGATTTAGAACCTTTAAATATTAACTTACCTAACCTGAATGTAATCATTTGTTATTGGTCAAAAATATTTTGAAAAACATATTCTTCCTATGAACGAAGCCCCTTCTTCCCAGATCTGACCAGTAACTTGGTGTCACCAGCTTGAAGATTGAAAGGTTTAATGTCATGCTGTGGAACATTCCAGGCAAAGCAACTGCATGTCCATGAAGGTAAGTCCATCAAAAAGTTACACAGCCTGTCCATATGCACTTGTAACTCCCCTGTAATCCAGCAGAGAGCGGTGCTGCTCCACTTCAGATGATGAGGTGAGCTCATGTGTAAAGAGTGTGTGTCAGCAGGGGGCGCTGTGTGTATGAGCCCGTGTGTGAGCAGCGTGTGAGGATAGAGCTTGTACGTGTTGTTTATGAAGGGCCTCTGTGTTTATTATGAGATTCTTTAAACCTGCTGCTGGTCCAGAGTTCATGTTCATGTGGAGACGTCACCCTGTAAAATCTCTGAGATTCACATCAAGATGTTGGGAAAGTTCAAGTTATTGCAGCCCTAGAGGTCTGGCCCAAGAGAGGCCTACAACGTGTGCATTGTGTCCTGTGTGTCTGAGCCATACTTCAGTGTGTGTGGGTTAAGGCTGGTTTATACACCACTCAAAAAAATTAAAGGAAGACTATGAAAACACATCAGATCTCAATGTGAAAAAATAAATAAATAAATGAATAAATAAATAAATCAGTGAATAAATAAATAAATAAATAAATAATGTTGGATATCTATACAAATATGGACAGGGCAAGGCCTAAGAAAAAATGGTTG